TGGTGGTGTGTGGAGTTTGTATAGTTTGTATAGTAAGCCCCTATGCCAGACACTATCAAAAGCCTTGTTGATGTCCATGAGTAGACATGCCGACTTTCCGTCAATTAGGTGAGTTGTTTGTATGTTGTTGGTCAAAATAAATAACGGATGAATAGTCGAGTGATATTGTTTAAAGCCAAATTGGTAGGTTGGTACATGTTTTCCGATCAGTTCTTCAAGTCTCTGCTGTAGTATGTGTTCCAAAACTTTGCTCAGCACCGGGAGTAATGTAATAGGTCTGTAGTTTTCCATTTGTGTATTGTCTCGTCCATTTTTAGGTATAGGAATTACTACACCACTTTTCCATGTTTTCGGAATTTTGTTATTTATGATGCAGTTGTTCATTTCAGAAAGGATGAGTTTGTGGGGTATAATACATTTTCGACAGTTTAAAAAAAAAAATTTAAGTTACTCCGTTCGAAATTGTGATTGCGATGCGACTCTAATAAACCGCAATGACGATATTTTTAAAAAGTATCAATGAAACGATTGATTATTTACGTTATTCTAAACGTAAATGTTTAGTTTGTTCATCATTTTGAAAATAATAATTTTATTTACCGCCAAAGCCGTCTACTGAAGAAACGGATCTTTGCATTTTCTTCATAACGACGATTCGGCGAATGAAAATTTGCTGAAAGGGCCGCAAAATATTCATCAGCAAAAGTTCGTATTTAAGGTGTGAATCTCTATTAGTTTACTATGTACGTTTTGGGTTTTACGTTTCAAACACTAGATTACATATAAATTTAATGAAATATTTGCAGAATGGGGTAGTGGCAATGTAAATAATGTCAAACGATTTTTTAATAATTTTCTAAAAATTTCCTAAAAATTAATTTTACGAAGCTTTGATACTCTACTCATGCACGGCTCGGCTCAATATACCTTGGCATTAGCATAACCGCACATGCAAAATTAAAACATAATATTTTACTTATATATGATACTGTTACGAATTTTCTTGCTATAATGGTGAGATAATGCTTGTTGTAATGTTACTTTCGGAAATAACTAATTAGTTTCGAATAAAAGTAAACTTTTTCTTAATTGCTAACAGGGCAACTGGCTTGAGTTTTTTCAAAATTATACATAAAAAGCACAAAGGATACGTTTAATTTCAGTTAATGTAAACAAAAACAATGTTTTACAATTAGAACATTAATGAATTTAATAGCATTTAGAGGTTCCTCGGAGATATTGTTGAAAAATCAGAACAAGCTCAGGTGAGAAGAAAGTTGAAATTGACTTCCGCTGCTTTTAGATGATTTGCTGCTTTTAGAGGATATTTTATCACTGATATCAAAAGAAGTGTCGATTTGAAAACATGTGTAGTTCATAGTTTTTATCTCTTCTCATTCTGTATATTTCAAAGAAATTTTATATTTAAAATAAAATACATATATTTAATAAATGCTAAAATCCTTTCTATTTCTCTTTTGTACGCATTTATGAAATGAAAAAAATTATGCAAATTTTTTTTGTGTTTCAGAGTTACCAGACGAACTTATTGTATTGCATCGGAAATAATGTCGAGTGAGATTAATGCCACGAATCAATCCAGTCAATATTCCGCTGTATATGTAACAACACCAAATGAAGACGTTGCTAAAAAAATCGCCCATGGACTGGTAAATATTATTTTTCAATTATTACTTCAGAAATGGTGGTTGGCAATTTTGGCAATAAATATTACACGAAATATTTTATTAACGTGTAGATTTGACTATAAGCGAAGTAAAGTTATCAAAACACTTTATTCTAGAATATTTTGCTCTCTAATACTGACCATAAAAAATCGGATTTTTCATATCGGATAATCGGATTAGTCCTTCTAGATTCTTAATTTGTTTTTTGTGGTGTTTTTGAACCATGTTCTATTTCATAAATCGTTAATCTCAATTTTAATTTGCGTTATTCATTTATGGACCGCTGAATTTAACTTATTTTCAATTTAAAAACTGAAAACAATTACTAAAGATTATATAACAAATTAAATTGAATTAGATTTTATATTTTAGAATTTGTTCACCCTATAATTGATAAATAAATGTAAATTTCAAAGAATCCCACAAATAAAATATTTCGTTTTTTCGCTCTGTCGATAGGCTTTGGTGTGATTTGTAACGCGTTACCGAAACTTAGTATTTTTTTAATTATCGCACCTAATTAACGGCTCTCTTACACTATTTATAAAAAGTTAGCTAGTAGAATATCTAGTAGAAATATTTTTTATTCGTTTTGGATTTGTTGCTTAACATTGCATTGTGTTTGCGGTTGCAAATCTGATTTAATGGTATATTGTCCGATATTGCAACTTCCAGCTTTTGGCTCTATAATTGTTTTTGTTATTGTAAATTGATTTTTGGAGCTACGCAAAACAGAACCACATTCAGATTGAAACATTTTGATCCTCCTAAATTTAAATAATAACTGACACAATCACTATATGAAGAAGACATGATTTTATTTTACCGACTAATTTATTTTTTATAATCTAAGTATCGACAATTTAACCAATTGAACGTAAAGTGGACAAAGCTGTCGGTTTATGAATTTTGTCGCTTAATTTTATTTCCTACATAAAAAAGCTATCGACCCAATCGGTATTTCTGCCCTATTTTAAATAATTAGCCAAAATTCCTTTTTTTGCTATTTTATACGAAACAGAAAGGAAATGTCAATTTTTCATTATTTCTTTCTAAATCCCATCTGTACCTAAACCTGCAAATTTTGAATGTGGATTTTTTGCCATTTTTAGTGCAAAATTATTGCCTAACAGTTTTCCACAAATTCGACTTTTTGTTGTAAGTGTGAGTTTTTTTATTGTTCTTTCAAGACCTATTTGCGCCTAAACCAGCGCAGTTTAAACGTGGATCTGACAACTGAAAATCGTTTTTTCGAATTTAAAAAGAGAAATATGGGTGTTTTTATAGGTTACTTCAAATCCCATTTGCAGCTCAACCGCACAGGTCAATCGTTGATATTTTGCCCTTTTGCTCAGTTCAAAATCGTTTCTCTGAAAGATAACAATTGTTTGAAACGCCAACTTATTTGCGAATTTCTACGAATTGCATTTTGCAATTTTTAAAAGTGCCATTTGTTCCTTAATTAGCAGAGGACAAACGGGGATTTTTTGCTAATTATAGTACAAAATCGTTTCTTTAACTCCTGGTACCTACCTAATTGTCGCTAAATCCGACTTCCGAGAATTAAACGAATTACTTGAAAAGTAAAGAAAGATTCAAATTATTTTTTTAGTCCCGTTTTCGTCTAAACCCTCTCAGTTTAAAGGCGGATTTCGGGCGATGCTCTAAAACCTAAAAATTGTGTAAATCCAACTTTAGAAGCGTAAGATTTATTACGGTTTAATAGTCAAGCAAAAAAGTTTATATTTTACAATTTAGCCAACTTGAGGTGGATTCAAGTGCCAAAGAAACGTTTTTAGATACGAAAATCGCAGTTTCTTGAAACAAAATACAAATGCGTTGATGTTCTCTGAAAATTACGGTTGAGAAAACTAAACTCGGTTAGAAAATTCGAATGTTATGAGGGTTTAAAGGCCGGATATCCAATTTTTAAGCCAAAAACCTTTTGAAGTCACACTTTATATAAACGCCAGATACATTTAAATGTCGAAAAATATTTGGAATTGTTATCACTTTAAGCAAACTTTAGATGCATTTGAGCGCGAATAGATAATGTATTAATGTATTTTGGAACATTTGATTGAAAATTGTACGCAGGTCCTGAACCTGAATTTTTGGATACAAATTATTTGCGCTCGCTTACTTAAAACACAACTCCCGGGCTAAAGCAGACAAACAGTTGCTTCTTTTACCATCTTTAGTAGACACTTGATCCTACAGACGTGAAAAGTTTCAGAAAAATCCATCCTTAACCTGATGGTGTAGTCAATTGTGCCCGCTTACTTAAAAATTCGTATCTCCCACACTAAAGCACACAGGCATTTGGGTGTTTCATTTAAAATAAGAAGGTTTCAGGCAACTTCTGGTATAACCGGAATTCGCATAATGTCGCTGTTGTTTCATCTGAAAACAGCGTCTCCGAAAATCCCATTATCCAAATTTGCGGAGTTCAAATCACATTACTTCCCGAAAAGCTCTAATGGATGATGACCGTGAGACACCCTGTATTGTTCAGAGGCCGATTGAAGAAAATTTCAGAGATGATGTAATTACTTTAAATATGAATTTCTATGCTTAATCTTGAATAATCAACAATATCAACAGGGCATGAAGAAAATTTAAAATGTTGTCCGAAAAATGTTATATGAAATATTGACAAATAGTTCTAAATAGTCGAGATAATTATGTAATAATTGATGAATTCTATTATCTATGTAGATGTCTATGAAAGTTTGGTAAGAAAGTAGGGAATTGGGTGGACGCAAATGCAAAAATGACGCGGCGTATAATTTATTGAAGTTACAAGTGGGTTTCTTTAAGCTACCTACGTTTAATTTCGGTTAGTTAATTTTCATAAACGAATCCAAATTCTAGGTGAAGGAAAAGTTGGCAGCCTGCGCTAATATTATTCCTAAAGTAACATCGATTTATGAGTGGGAAAATAAAATTAACGAGGACTCAGAAGCCCTAATGATGATGAAAACTAGAACTTCAAAAGTAGATGAGCTAACGGCGTATGTGAAAGCAAATCACCCTTATCAGGTTTGCGAAGTTATAGCGGTTCCAATTACCAATGGGAATGACGCTTATCTTAAATGGATATCCGATGTTGTTCCAGAGAAGAAAATAAATTGATTTTGTTCGAGCACTGTTTCCATTTCTGAGATGTTTAATATATTTAGAAGCAAGTAGTGCGGTGTTTGCACAAAGTTGAAACTTAACAAAGTCATTAATGTATATTACTGTTGTAAGTAGAGTCGGTTAATAAAAGCTTTGATTTGTAATGCAAGTATTTTCAATTCGAATCCAAAGACAAAACAGAAAACTGCAAGACACATGCTGGAAGTGATAGCATATGTCGACTTATAATTAAGTTTATAATTTAGAAAAAAGCCCCTGAAACATCTCTTTTGCATACCAATCTGTCTGATCGGTTGGTAATTTTTTTCAAAGACTAAAGCGAACAATACGAGCCTGTCATAGTGTCATTTTCCTTTGGGCCAAGTACACACGATTCTCACAAAGACGATCTGACGATCAGACAATGTATAGCTAAACAACACAATAGCAACCCACAACTTGAATTATTGTTTCGATGGATGCGGTTTATAAGCACCAAGGGGTTTTTAAACAGCTTTTAACTTTATCAACGCTAATCCTTGATCCTGCCGCTCAAATTATAATAAATCACACTAGACCAAAAGAATGTCTTTTCCATGGACCTGTCTGCGTCATTAGTCCAAGAAAACATTGTGAATTACTAAGAAGAAAATGCAATTTGTACTATTTGTTGAAAAACATTAAAATCATGGATTGGCGTACAAATGGAAAACTTTGCGCCAACCATTCGCAATTAGTGTTAAAATCAATAGACCGTTTTGTTGGTGCAGATTTAGAAGATTTATGGTTGGCAGGAATATCAAAGAGCGCCGTGAAAAGTTTCCCATCAACAGTGCTCAACCGTTGTTAATGCAAGAATGTTTTATTCTCAGCCAATCGGATTACGAGGCGTGATTCTACCGAGCACTGCCTACTTACTGAGTACTAACGAGTACCTACAAGTGCTTGCGGGGTATTGAAATGAAAATGCGAACTGGAAGACAAAACTGTACGAACTACTTACATTATATTGTAGATTTGACCCAGATATTTCCAAATTTGTGTTACACGAAACATTGTATGTAGTCAACAATGAATATTAAACTTTTTCTGAAGCTTTTCTCAAATCTCAGAATGTAATACCGTCGAAAGAAATATTTTGGGCGATGATCCTACATAGTGGTCTCCTAATTTGGCCATTTTCAGCCACATCATTTGGCCATTGACCATCATATTATTTGTCCCAAAAAGTCATAGTTTACATATACAGTTATTTTCCAATTCTCTTGTTCATCGAAGTATTTGATATTTTTCAAAATGTTTTACTTAAAGAATCAGAAAATGACAATAAATAATTCCGATTTTTCGGGAATTTTTAAGGTCAAGAGATTGTTTGAATAGCAAAATTTTAGTTGACTTCAATCACATCTTGCTGATAATTAGCGCGATAAAGTATTTTGCGCGCCTAATTCGCCTTCCGTCTTCCGTCTTTACTTAAAAAATGGTAAATTTAAATAAACTGCAGCAATAAAATTTATCTAATTCTTCTAAAAGTTCTTGAAAGCTGTAATTATTTCTTAAATAGTGTTGTTTTCCATAAATACATTATTTTTCCAATATGATTCCACAGCATCTAAATTATTAATTTATAATTTTCCGCTGCTATGAATTGAACAAACGACTAATGTGAATAATTATAATAACGTTTGAATAATTAATTGTTGTATCAGCATGGTTGTGGTATATAAATAAAGTCAGTAGGTTCCAAAGCTCTTATAAATAGTCAAGTACAATTGAAGTAAAACATTTAAAAACTCGTAAATACTAGAATTATTTTTCTTACATTAATTGAAAAATATCTACATTACAGATAAAGCTACCACTATGAATAAATTTTGCAAAAAAATGCTTAGTATTTTCATATTTGCTACCAATCATTGTTGGAATATTTTGTTTGATATTGTTTTTGGTTTTGCTAGTAGAAATAAACATTGTTCAGATTGTTTTCAAACAGAACAAGTTAAAACTTTCATAAATTCCTTTGAAAGCACTAATTTTTTCCATAAAAGGTTTTATATAATCAGAAATTTGAAGAAAATTTGGCGATGGAAGCGAATAGAAGTTCTTTCAATTCAGGTTATCTCCGAGTTAGAGAAAAATGAGTAGCAGATTTTAATTTTTAAAATGGAAAGCCATCAGTTGGAATATTTCGTTATCACTCAAATCAATCCAGAAAAATAACACTTACATTTGCACTATTTCACACTAAATAGATATCTTATAAACTTCAAAATTTTGGAAAAATTCGGCATAACAATTATGACTTCATTTTAAGCAGAGACCGTCTATGCAAATGAATAAAAAGGGAAGAGCAAAATTTAAACTTTTCTGCCCCTACCACTTACTTCATATTTTGGCTTTCGTTTTATTTATTTGCTTCGACATTTTGGAAGCGAAATTCTATTGAAAGTTTGTTTCATATCATATGAAAACTTGAAAAAAACAAACAATATGCGGCAAATTTAACGCATAGTTTAAATGAGTATTCTAATACTTTTGACTTCGAATATTTTCTAAGTAGGTTATGCAATTTAAATTTTTTTTGTATCGGGCCATAGCTGCATTGTTGGACAAAATTTAACTAATAAGAGAAACGAAAAAATGAAGCAAAAATATAGCACAGGGTGTTTAACTGCGGCCCCTTTTTCTTGGTCAAAGTTTACATCTTTCTGCTGGCAATATGGGGAGAGAAAAAACTGTACGATTTTATAGTCTTATGTCTTCTGAGTAATTTGGATTTTTAATTTGTCTGTTTATCCTGAGCCATTCGTAACAAATAATTTTTTATGATCGATCAAATTTTGCGCAGGAAGTTTACTTGTGGGAAAATTTCCCACAAAAACGCTGTGCGAATAAGATTTCATTGCAACTTGTTCAATACTCTGATTATTTTATCACTCTTTGTGCTTTGCAAATTAAGCCGCTAAAGTTGTTGCTTTCCTATGGTTAAGGTTTTCTTGTTTTCACGCTTAGGGATACTGTTTATATTGTCGTTTCTTTATGGAGTAACATGCGTAACAAAGTAAACAAAGGGTTAATCACTCTTAGCGCTTGTAAAAATCTTCTTCGGAATTAAAAAAGGAAATAAAAATTAATTTTCTGTAGAAAATGGTGAACGGTCAAAAAAAAAAGAATATTTCTCAAACTGTTCAAGATAAACAGACGATTAAAGATCGGAATACTTTTTTTGTCTGAGCTATCCAATGTTGTCCGCGCAAAAATTTAAAGTTTGACTAAGAAAACATAACAGTATTTAAAAATTTTCTACAATATGTGCGTGACCGTCTTTGCTTACTTTATAACTTAAATTTTGTCCCTGAATTGAGATAGATTCGATTCGAAAAATAATTAGTCGCTAAAGGATAACAACACATTAGGACACATAATAAATATGTAGTTGTAACTTGTCACGTTGTGTAGAATAGATTTGGTAAACAGAAAAAAGCAAAATTTCAGTCAGTCAAGTCAATAACAATATTATGAATAATGTACTAAGAACAAAAATTTACAAGGACTTTAAATATTAAGGTTTTTATTTTTTTCGATCCAATTTATATTAACCGGTGTTTTGGGGTTGGGATTATTAATAAGCAATAGTGGTTATTTATACTTGTCGACGTTTCTCTATTTATGTATTATTCCTCAAGACACTACAATTCAAAATAAGTCAACTTTATGTGACTTATAGTATTTAATTTTTATAAGACACTCCAGCTAGAATAAATATAGTTTAAGGAAGTGAATGAAAAAATGAAAACTTCAGAATTAAAAAAATTAAGTAACTGCGGTGTTTTCAAACAACTGAATCGTGAAGCGAAAATGTTAAATGGCTTTTCATATTTGCCCGTTATAATATCCGGTGTAAAATGTCTGTGTGGCACCTATCGACAAAAACAAATATCCTGGCAAATATAATATCTTCAGAAAGAGCGTCAAATATTGTCCAATACCTGTGAAGTTCGAATTGTTTCACAGGCACATTGGCGTGCCACTTACCTTCCAACACCGATGATTTATGTTAACACTAAAATATAAAGGTCTAAAGCCGGAAGTGGATTTGTCCATTTTAGAGGACACTCTAAAAATTGCACCTGTAACTAAGTGGTTTAATGTTGATCTAACACACGTGTGTGGAATCGATTTTTATTAGTATCTATTAATAGTAAATATATCGATAAAAATGAGGGATTTAAAAACTAGACTTTATTTAGTTTTATTAGTAGCCCCTTAAGAGTTATAAAATAATAAAAAGCATTTCTGGTGCTTGCTTTAAGGGAATGTGAAAGTTTAAAACTAAACCAAAGTAAAATACAAAGAACTAAAGCTTATTAAAAAATTAAATATGTGTTGCTTTGTGAAGATTTTTAGATTCAACATTTCAACTCTGATTAGATAGATATACCTTTATAATTATTGTTAAAATATGGTTTTCTGTTTTCAACCAATACTCATTATTAACAGAAGGACATTTTGCACTGCTCACACGAAACAAAACACATAATATGTTGCCGGGACGCTCTGTATATAATGTTACAAAAATAATATCTAATAACAAAAGTATAGTAAGTATAATAATCGCTTCTTCAGCTTGAAGCATTCGGCTACGACCCTTAAACCTGTACGGAGTTAAAATTAGCATATCGTGGCTTAGAAGTATAATCCATATTCGTTTTTGAGATTTGTTATTACGAGACTGATTAATTTTTTTTAGATGTTGCAAATTCTGTATTATTTCTGTGTGTGCTATCTTTTTAATGCCTTCATGTTTATAAGCAAAATTACGATTATCTATCGTTTAAGTAAATAAAACTAAATAAAGGTTTTTTAAATAGGTATAAGATCTAGATTAATTTTCAAGTCGACTTCAGGTTTGTGAAAGTGAAATCATGAAATAAAACTTATTAAATTAAGAAGAAAAAGGTTTTACGCTAATGGTCTTATGGGTTGCAGAAGGATCCTAGAAGGTACAAGAATGTTGCAAAGCTGGAAGGTAACTGCAGCTCATAATTGTTAATTAGACTAATGGAAATGAACCATTTACCACTTGGTTTTTTTTGTTGTTGTATTGTTTTGGGTTATTTATTTGATTTTTTCCTAAATTTACTACAAATACGGGTTATGATTA